AGAAGATGGGGGGAATGTTTGTCATGTGAGAGTGTAATAAATTTTATTAAAAACATACACAAAACAAAACGCATAAACGCAAAGGAGAAGACAGACAGGCAGACAGCCAGTCTCAAGGTAGTCCAAGGAGAGAGGGAGGGAGAACGAAGGGAAAAGGCAAAACTTAGAGGTAGGAGTGATGTTACGAGTGAGAGGGATCTGGTGGGGGTCTTGCACACATTTTTTGGGTCATCATACGTGACCGGACGGCATTGGAATGCCGGGGTACGACGACGGGACGCGCCCTGGCTACACGTCGCGCCACGCCGCGCCGCGCCATGCCACACCGTTACCCCAATATTTTCCCCCCTTTCCTCTATCTGGTTTTTGCTTTTGCTCCCCACCAAAAAACACGATGTCCAGCTGAGACAACACAAAACACCGAAAATAACGCTGCGGTGAAAGAGGCGCGGAGAAAGAGAGAGTGCAACAAGCACAAGACTAACAAGAGCGAGAGAGGCAGAGAGAGAAACACATTTCTCAAGGGAATTGCAATCAAGAGTTCAGGATCAAGAGACTTACTCCCAGATTTACTCTTCGACAATCCCCGCCTGCCAGCTCGACGCACAAGCGAAATTTGCAAAAGAGAAATCCCCAGAATGCAAAAACAAAATACATGTCGTGTGTATGGCTGTTTGTGGCATACGGAAGCTTGAAAACAAAGGTCTTGTGTTCATCTTTTGGGCGGCGACTTCATCTTTTGTTCCTGTTGTCCAGGACTTCAATTTGATGCCAGGTCTGAAGGCGACTCCCTATCCTTCCCCGCATTCCGCTCTGCTGCTCCGTGGATTCTGGGCCAATTGAGTGTTGGGGGGCCACATCTACTATGTGACGGAGGAATTTCTGTGTATTCAATGTGTGGCCATTGGCCACAGACTAAGATGACTTTTTAACGAGAAAATTGAGTTCAACCATGAGCCAGTCCCTCGTGGGTAAGCCACTCCGTGAGAGGGTAGTCTGCCGCCGTAGGATCAGGAGCCTACGGCTGACGTTCGGCCTCTCAATAACGAAACAGAATTGTTACAACAATATTGTGTGTTCTCTGCTTATTCTGACGATTTTCTAGAATTCAATAGAAAACTCAACGCTATGTAAAATGCTAGAAAACGAATCAGAACAGTATTCGTAAGTACACCTCTCAAAATGGAACTCCCCAAACAACCTCTGGCGTGTGGCATGCGGCATGTGGCGGAGGTAAAATTCAAAATAAAAAAAAAGCAGTTAAGTGTGGCCAAATTAATGGACGTTGAATGAAGTTGACCGGCCTGTCATAAAGCCTTTCATAATTACTTTTCACACCAGGCGGCGGCGGCAGCGGCAGCGGCAGCGGCACAACGTGAACCCGAACCGAACTGAGCCGAGCCGAGCCAACGATGAGAAAAATATAAATGATGGCAAGGGGCAAGGGGAAGGGAAACAAGCCCATATTTATACACGTAGTACCTACATATAATCCGACAAACAACGGTCGGCGGAGAACAGAGCAGAAATAGCTGAACGATTATTACAAATAAACAATCATAAATTTCAATAAATTTCTATAAATTCTAATTGAAAGAAAGAGTTATTGTTGGTTTTGTTCTTGTTGTTGTTGCTGTTTTTGCTGTTGTCGTGTGTGCTGTTTGATGTCTGCTTATAGGCTTAGAGAGGAGGAGACAGCCCGAGCCCGAGCCCCCTATGTCGCACGACATTCATTCCGTTTTATTTATGGCACAAACTGACAATAAAATTTAATAACTTTGACACAATTTAATTAATTTCGATTTTTCGAAAATATACGAATAAATAAAAAAAAGGAAACGAAATGAAAAGCAACGCAACGAGAAAAGCCAAAACATAACACAACATAAAAATGTTTATATTCCAAAGGGCAGGGAGCAGTATTTATGGAATACTTTATATGTATATATATTTTTTTTTGGTAATTCCTCACTCTATTTTCCATATGCAAAGGGAAATCGAATTAAAATTCAACGAGAGGGAAATTTACAAAATTAGTTTTTGGAAATAAATAGAGCAGGGAGAGGGTGAAGGGTGGAGGAGGATCCCATGGCATACATTTTGCAAATGGAAATTCTATCAGTATCGACGAATCCATTTTTCAGAATCGAACAAATTGAAAGCTTTTGACAAAAATGATCAAATCGAAATTTAGTTTTAATTTCCCTTCCAATCGAATTTCATTTCGTTCTTCAGAGAATTTTTTTGTATCGTTTGAAAATGGAAAATGTATGAGAAATAAATCCTATAAAGATGATTTCCTTTATTTGCTGGTCCTCGTCTCTTTAGAGTTTGCTTCAATTAAAGTTTCATAACTTTAAGGAAAACAAACGCTAATAGCCCAACGCTTACGCTGTGCTACGTTACACAATCGAATCGCTGATTCGAATAACCTTTGAAGTGTAAACCAGAGAGAGATCCATCCACGTCCTCCAATCCGTTCCACATGAAATCTCTCACAATTGACAGAGTTATTATAGTCTTTTATATGGCAGTGTGTCCCGTCTGTCCGGTCTGCTATGGTGTGTCTTTCTTTCAGTCTGTCTGTCTGCCCGTCTGTTGGCCACCGAAAAAACCGCAATTGAAATGCAAAATACGGACACCATGAAAGCTCCTCTCCTCTCCCATAGCCTACTACAAGGGGGGTTGAGTGTATGCAAAAAAACATGTGAATAAATATAAATATAAATATTTTGAGGGGGAAAAAGTCAAAATGCAATGATGGACAAAATGAAAAGCGTATGGAAATTAATTTTGAATGCAGTCTGGAATTGAAAGGTTCTCCTCTGGCCCCCGCCACCTTAAACCACACTCTTTTATCGTTTTTAAATTGTGACAACATAAAATAATTGTTAAAGCCCAAAAATAGCAATAAACATCAATACAGAAAAAGGGACAGGGGCAGGGGACAATGATTGGGAAAGGGAAGTGTGTGGCAGTGGCAGTGGCAGGAGCTAGAGTCAAAGCAATTTGCAATGCACCAAAAGTCCAAAAACCGAAAACCAAAAGCCTCGCAGCAGCAGCAGCAGATTTCCCCCGTGTGTGCGTGTGTCAGTGTGTGTGTGGAAAATTTATTGATTTCCATATATTTATTTGTGTAAAATGCCATAAATTACAATTATTTAACAGGGCCGTAAAGTCAACGCGCCGGCCCGTGCCACGTCCACGTCCTGGCGTGGGTTATCTCTGTGGGTCTGGCGCCTCGTTGGGTCAGTAGTGCACAGATCTCCCCTCTCCCTCTTCCTGTTTCGCTCTGTTGCTGTTGCTGCCTCTTGCATAATTTGTTAGCCAAATTGCAACTCAACAAGCCAGGTACGACGACGAGGAGTCCAGGATAGCAGCACCCTGAGACCCTGGACAAACACAAACACACATAGAGAGGCAAGAGGCCTGCCTGCTGCCGCCAGCCGCCATCCGCCTGCTGCCTCATTGCCGGTAAGGCTCATCAAATATGCAAAATTCTGCAAGTCCTTGCAACAATCACAATTAGGGATGAGGCGCCACAATTGTCGGTGGCACAACACTGCTAATGAAAACAGTGACTAAAGAATAGCTGCAGGAAATATTCGGGGGAAAACTGTGACTTAAAGTGGGTCACGGCCTCGAAATTACTTCAAGGAAAGCAAAAGATATAGTAAAATAAATCTAAAAATATGTGTAGGCACACACAAGCTATGAAACGGTTATGAACCTATTATGAAACAGTTTACATCCATGAAACGGTTATGAACCGGTTATGAAATTTCTTTGAAATTGATATAAACTCAAAATGTATGAATTCCTGGTACTGAAACGGTTATGAAACAGCTCTAAATATTTATGAAATATTGATACTGAAACGGTTTAATTTCTGAAGGCATTCGAAATTCTGAAATCTTCTTTAATATATTGAATATACAATATATTCCATCTGGCAAAATCCCTTATCCGTATCTCTTGTGGAAAATGTTCCTCTGTTCAGTTCATTGCATCCTTTCGCTTAGGGAAACATTTCTACGGCGAATCAACGAGTCATTCTCTTAGTTAAATTTTTGTACTGGCAATCACGAAATTATCACAGAAACTCACAGACAGAAATGCTAGTGTATGTGTGTGGACATCTCTGGTCATCGCTTGAGGGCCATAAACCGTTTGCTGCTGTTGCTGGCTGTTTCCGCCCTCCTCACGCCACACCCTCCCCCCAATGTACTACCTGCCGGCCCTGATCAATCGCTTGGTCATTTGTTGGCTTACTCTGTGAAGTATCTGTATCTGTGTATCTGTGTCTGTGTATCTGCATCTGTGTATATGTGCTCGTGTGTGTTTGTGGAGACTATTATGTCCGAAGCTTATTAACTGCGGGTCTCCGAAAATGCAATGCAAATAAGCAAATTTGTAATCAAAAGAACGATTTTCATATTTAAGATGGCAATTGGATGAGAGGCTCAAGGGGCACTTCAGAATGGGGGAAGAATGGGGCATGAATGGGGCAAGAATGGGCGTGTGTGGCATGCACTTAATTTGGCAATTGTCTCTCTGCAGGTCACACAGAAAGAGAGACCGAGAGAGGTCATAGAAAGGGAGGAGATGTGTCTCCCATCCATGGATGTGCCTCTCCCGCTCTCTCTCTCTCTATTTGTGTGTATGTGCGAGTGTGTGTGTGTGTGTGTGTATGCGCCTGTCTTTGTCATTAATATTAATTTCGTGTTTAATTTATTGTAATTTACGTGCATTTGATAAATCGTGTTATTATAATCAGTTGACTGGAAACGTGAACGTGAAGAAAGGACACACACAGCCATGAAAGGGAGGAGGCGTCTCGCCTCGACTCGCTTAATCGAGGAGGCCTCTACAGGGAGTCCGTCTACCCGAATGGTAGGGGGATTTGTGTTGCCCCTCAATGAGGGCGGGGGTGGAGAGTGGGAGTCGAGTCTCATATCTAAATGCCAATGACAGCTGTCCGAACAGACCTTACCACTTACCTTTAATTCAGCAGGAATCGGGACCTGAATCGGTGTACCTCACCCTCGCAAGTGGCTCAAACTTTAAAAAAACTGCAATGAGAACGAGGGTGAACGTAATCAATAAGGTGGAATAATAAAAGTATTCAATAGGTTATGAATAGATTGGCTGCTTAGGAGCATTAACCCACAATTATGGGCAACTGCTAAGGGTAAAAATTAATGGGAAAATTCTACAGAATTAACGGTATGGAATGGTGGCTGGTGGCTAAGGGGTAAAGAAAATACGCGTAGAAATATAGTTTGGGCATTGGTTAAGAAATCGATTACACGACTATCAATCAATTTTTGAATCACTTATGAGGCCAGGACTGAAGTTATAATGAAGCGGTTGTCCATCCGTTACTAAACAGAATTTTACAGAGAAGCGACGTAACATTAAATAAATCATGTACCATGGTAAGAAAAACCTTTGTTGTAAAACCGTAAAGAAGCCGTAATAAAGCGGTACTGAATAGGTAATGGAATGGTTATTAAGCGTCAGCCGGTGACAGGTTACATACTAAAAAACATTTGCGAAAATTCTAGATAAAAGCGCTTAGTTTAAAGGTCTTCATATCACAATCATAGACGGATAAACCGATATAAAAGCTTAGTTCTGGGGAATCGTATGTACTTTTTAAGACTTAAGGGGTATACTAGATTTGTGGACACAGTCTGTCCTGTGCAATGCGCGAACTTTTGCGGAGACGATGAAGAATTTACATTGTGTATGTAGAATTTACATGTTTGGATAATTAGATAACAGATGTAGCAAAATGTAACATATTTTAAGAGTCTACATAAATAATAATAAGCCCACAAATTTATATGCTGACTGAGAACGGGTATAAAAGTGGAGTCGCGACCACAGAAGCGACTCACACGTTCCTTCTCGTTTTACCTAATAAATTGTTAGAAAGCTATACAAAAAATTATGTTAAACTGTCGTTCATTATATTCGATGGTTTTATTCCCTTAATGACAGATACTTTACTATCCCAACCACTCATGTTTTTATTCCATAAAAATTCAGCAAATAAAATCACCAATTCCAATGGCCAGGCGCCAACTAATATTTATGAGAATCTCATAGGAGGGGTTGTCCAAAAGGAGACCATTAGGGGGGTTGTGTTGGGGGAGAAGGAGCCAAGGGTTATGTCTGGGTTAATAAACATTTTTCCTTCGCTCATGTGCGACGAAATGCTTAAGGACAAGTGTCGCATGAAAGTAGGGATTTTCCTTCTTTCTTTATTCTTTTGTGTGTTTGGCTGTGTGTCGGTGGAATGCATTTTTATAACAAAATAATTATATTTATTCCACAAGGGAGTGACAGAGACACAGACAGAGAGTGAGAGATGTGTGTGTGTGTGTGTGTGTGCATTGGGCATTGCAGCACAAAGCGCATTCAAGTCGAAGTAATGCAAAAAGAAGAAACCCCCAAACACACTTCCAATCCTCACGCCAATCCTCTTGCCAATCCCGATTCCCATTTATGTTCTCTCTTTCCCACTGTCGCTGAGCAGCAGCAGCACCCTCCACCCCCGCTTAGAACATAACGGCATCCATTACACGCAACAACAAAAGGCAAAATGGCGTCTGGGGCGACAATGTGTTGCTGCATGCGTGTGTCCTGTATTGTCGCTGGAAATTATTTTTATTATTTTACACAATTTTTATATGGAAAAAGTCAAAGAATGGAAGGGAAGGGAAGGGAAAGGAAAGGAGCCTTGGCCATGGATCGAATCGAAACGAAGCGAAAACAACAGACTACACAGCAGCAACAACACAACAAAAAAAAAGAACTTTTTTGTGTACAACACAAGGCACATAAATATTTAGTATATTGTTGTATTTAATGAGATTTTTGAACTTTTCCATAAGCGCCTTAAGCGTTTTTCCGCTCTCTGTCGCATTTCTCTCCCCCCTCTCTCTCTGTTTCTCTCTCACTCTCTGAGGAAAAACACTTTACAGAAGCCACAAAACGAACAGTAAAGAACAAGAAAAACATTTGAGAAAGTTTTCCCAGCGACAAGTGGAAAAGGCAAAACAGGCAAAGCAAGGAAAAGGGAGTCCGGTCCAGTAAATGCATAGAAAAAATATCAAATAATGCTGAAAGAAAATATTATTCAATACTAAGTTAATACTAAAATAAATTAAAAAGAAATACTAAATATTTATATTAAAAAACATTTCTTTTTAAATAATGAAAATGTCTCCAATCAAATTCCGAGCTAAAACTGACTCACTCTATTAATTTTTACCTCCCTAAAACATCTTCATATCACACATAAAACATATCAAAACTTCCCCATTAACCAACCATCTAAATTTTGTACCCATGTCACACCTCATGCCATCCAGCATCTAACCCAAAAACCTCTTGATCTCTCATAAAAATATCTCAATTTTCCAGCCTCTTCTGTTATCTATGGATCTAAATGACTTCTAATTGCATTATAAACACAAAAATTCCATTCCTCTAATCATGGAATCAATTTATTGTCATCACATTTAAGAGCCCATTAGTTAGATGACCGATAAGATCTCTCGGATCTCTGATCCCCAAATCTTGAATGCATTTGTCATTCAAAAAACGAATCAGAGCAGATCGAAAGACCAGTTTCGAGACCTGCCTCCATGCGTGTATTTGTGTGGGAAAACCGGTGGCAAGGCCCCCCCAACCAAATCCAAACCCAAAGCCACAGGCCAAAGCCTCCAACGCATTCATTAGTTCTCATTAGAGACACAAAAAAAGAAAGAAAAAAAACATTTCAAATATCCAAATCCAAAACCGTATTCAAATGATAAACAAAACATTTTTCAAGACGCCATGGGTGGGGGGAGATTACCGGTTCTCTAATGAACCTCCTAATTCCATTAATGGAATACAGCAAAAGAAAAGCTTCGAAAGAAACGATTTTCCTGTGTGGGTGGTCGCTGGGGAAGGGAGAGAAAGAGAGAGAGAGGGAAGTTTTACCTTTAGGAAATCTCTGATAGTTCCATAGTTCAAGGAAATAGATTATGTGTCTATAGCTCATGTTTCAGGCGATAGTGAGGAAAAGTCTCTGAAAAACTAATGTATCCTTTCGCTTGTAGGAAATTTGAAGTGGGAATTTGGGAAAAGGTTAATTAAATAGAACAATTCTTTGATACAGCTGCCAATGCTCTCTTCGTTGGAAAGAATGAAAAACAATCGATATTTCTTGGATTTAATATGAATTTTTCCTTTGGAAATAAAATAAATAAACAATAAATATATTAATATAATTATATATTATATAATACGGGCTGGAAACTCTTATTTAAAACAATTACTATATAAATTAATATTTACTCCATTTCATTTTCATCCAATGATGTTTCTGCATAGGACAAACCCTTATATCATTTCCCTGCCTGTTTTCATGTAAATACCATACGAATACGCCCCCTTAATATTAACTGCAAGCAAACAGACAATTAAAGACCTACAAAATGCATAACTTTGACGTTTAACTTCACGTTTTATTAATGATGCAATTGAAAGGCAATGAAATACAGAGGGAAAAGGCAAAAGAAGAGAGAGAGAGAGCATATAAAAACTGTTCAAAACGTAAAGGAAAATCCAATGACATAAGCGTTTAAATATGAGAGGGGACCATAAAAACCAAAAGCGAAGGAGATACCAAATGCAGGCCGGGCCGCCCAACGAGAGGTCTGTGCTGTATGGCTGTAGGAGGGTAGATATGGTAGAGTATGGTACGACCGAGTATGTGGGGCACAAAAGCAAACATGTGACATATGCGGCAATTAATGCCGTTAATTATTTAAGTTAACACCCAAAAGCGACATGCACAAGTCAAATAAATAAACACGCAGCAGGGAACCAAAAGCCTGAAAGCCCGAAAACCCAGAGACCAGAAAAGCGCCAAGCGCCGAAAAAAAAACCCCTCATACGATGTACGCCCTCCCTCACCATACCCCTAAAAAACCCATAAAATGTGAGGGGCTCCCCCATCCGTCCACAAAAATGCCCCAACAATTAAGGACAATGCTTACTAATTTCAAACGAAAACTTCAGCACCAAAGAGGGAGGCAGAAATGGGGAAAAAATTAAAACAAATTTATATATTTAATCAAAATAAAAGAGATATTGAAACGACTGTTAGATACTCTTTTAGGCTAAGAAATGGTTCGTTATTTGATTGGGGGTTTCATTTTGAGAGATTTTTCTTTTATTTGAAAGTATTTTTCGGGCCAATTCATTGAATATGCATGAATGTTCAGATAAAAGAAGTAGCATTGAGGCATATTATAGGCCATTCAGATATATAGGCCGCAGATCCTAGATCTTTAGCGTTTGCAATCTTCTTTTATGGCCTATAAATATCATAATTATAATTTCTAATCATAGTAATTATTATTCATATATCATATATTCGGTTTTATGTGATATAGTAATAGCCTGCAAATTCATCGGATGAAGATATGTCAAGGCGTATTATCCCAGAATGATGCCAGACAACTTAAAAGATTGTAAAAGTAAAAATGAATCGAAAAGGAATCATCGATAGAGCAAACACACAAAGCGATAGAAAGCGATGAGGCAGGAGGGGGCTTTCTGCAGCTGGAAGACCTTCAGAGATGGTCCTTCACAGGACTTTAAGGATGGAGAACCTGCAAGAGCTCGTTCCCCATATTTTATACACGGCCTCCATGGCGGGTGTATAGTCGGAGTAATAATGATTTTTATTTATAAACTGCCACAAAGGGGGGGCACAAGCCATGCGTGCGACAAGCGGCACAGGCAACAGCAGGAGGCAGCAGCAGCAGGAGGAATGTTGGGGAAGGACAGTTGGCACATAAATAATTTACACGCTCCCCCTCCCCACCCTCTCAGCCAAATCCTCGTCCTGCTGACATAATTTTTTGTCCTTCCTTGAATTAGGGAGCAAAGGTGGAGTGGGGTGTGTGCATGTGGCAGGGGGGTGGCGGGATGTAGGGTGTGTGTTGTAAATGCATAAGCAAACAAAACACACACACACACACACAAATGCACAGAAACAACTTTA